ACTTTGAGATGTTAATAAATGGAAACTAATCCTATTTACGGCCTAAGAAAGAACTTGAATCTTCACATCCCAGAATGGGATGCTGATCTGTTTTTTTCACTATGTCATCACACACTAGTCTTTTATATACTAGGGATTGTGCTTTTGTAGTATTTTGGAGGATTCTGGTTTGAGTTTTCTTTGTGCCAAGAGTTTATTATCTCAGCTTGTCAAATCAAAACAATTTTAAAACTCTGATTTCTCACTTTGGTTCCAGTCTTTACTTATTCCTTATTACTCTTTGAAAAGGTTTTTGCATAGGAGGTTAGTGAAGAATTATCTGTCTAATCATCATGTTTTAATACCAGTTCAACGTCACCAGTCCACATCCAAAGAGCCATGGGGTAAGGATTAAAACTGACACTGTTTTGTGCAAAATGTCTAAAAAAGAGCTGAAGTTATTTCCTCAAGTACAGACTCCATGCTCAGCTGGTGGACCTGCCTTCATTTGGAACACTGGACGCCTCCAGTGTCATGCCAGTGCTGAAACCCCTTCCATTGTCTCTCAGGCAGCTTCAGAAGCCAGATTAAGGTGTTCCTTCTAGATTTCAAAGGAAATAGCTGATCACGCTTCAGAAAAGACCACATGTGGATTTCTGAACTTGTGTGACACATGAGCTCCTCAGGGACAATGCAGGCATCAAAGTTCAGGATGCAGAAACTAAGAGCTGGAGACAGAGCCTTTTGGCTGAATAGACTTGTCTGTAGGATAAATTTCCAGGAAATTAGAGTATCGTTAAAAATTGCTGGAGTGCTTCACTTGGTGAAAAATTCTTTCTGTCATTAAGAACAATGCTTAAAACATTTAATACTATTATGTTTCCACCCCCTTTTAAAAGAGGGAAGTTACTAAAGTAAGAGGAAAACAAAACACAAAAAAAGTCTCCCCAAACAACCAAATAAACTGAAAGAATTTTATCTTCACAAAAAGAGGCAGGCTAGATTTTTAGTAAGTGTACTGGAAATTTCACATTTTTCTCTCATGCAATGTTTAGGGCAGCAGATATCATGTCATCCAAGGCTGTGCTTTTTTGTTGTTGTTGGTTTTTTTTATATCATCAGTATGTGGACTTTGGAGTCAACACATTGTTGAAAAATTTATGCCAGAAAAGCAAGTCAGTGTTTCTTGTTGTCAGTAATTTTTTTTATGAAGCTTTATATGAAAAAAAGTAAGCCAATATTTATGTCTTTATCAAGTAAAGGCTTCTATACAGAGTGGAATATTTTACAAATGTAACTTTAAAGGTGAAATGCAAAGCAATTTCCTTTTTCTTTTTTTTTTCTTTTTTTTTTTTCTGTGGTTATTATGTTAGAAATGGTGGACACATCAGGAGGTGCTTCCTGTTTGTGCAAGCAGATGACAAGTTGGCATTAACCATCTACAGGAGATAACATTATCAAAATATCTTAACCACATGCATCACAAAGAGGATTTTAATAAAGCCTTTCTTTCACTTCTTTTGAAATTAATCTAATTAAAATACGTGCATATCTGAAAGCTAAATAACTGGATATTCTTTAGTTGTCCATAATACAACACTTTCATTTGTCAAGCTTTGGATAAGAAGTGCTTTTACAAAATATGCCATGGCAGCTGTGTATGTGGGAAACAGGTTGAGCTGTTTTTCAAAACAGAGAAGAAGGAGATTATCTGAAAAAGGAATCACATAACTAGGGTTTTAGTAGTCTGTACAGAGACAGTCTGTTTTCTAGCTCTAGATATTTCTTCCTTATTCTGTAGGAAAGGAGGATACTTCTTTCTTGTAAACAGAATTGTCCCAGGCCCCACTATAAGAAAAAAACAGCAACTCAAATAAAAAGTCAAGGATGTGACCTCAGAAGGCGCAGGTTCTGTACGTAAAGCCTTGGCAGCTATCCAGGAGTAAATCATCAATATGGCATTTCCTTAAAACCTTTTCTGTAATGAAGAGCTGCTGTTTTTCCATTTCTTTAGATCCATTCTTAAATCTCTTTCTTTGGTCATCTAAACTTGTGACGAGTTTGCTGTCTTCCTGTAACAGAAGTTCCAACATTACCAGTTGTTCTCCTAATTCGTTTCCAGCAGTGATTTATTAGAGACCAGTAAAATTACTTCCTTGGTATGTTTGTCTCCTGTCAGGCTGTAACAAAGAATTTAACATCAACTGATTCACCCAGTCTGTGCTGCTAAACCAAAGGAAACTTCTAACTCTTTCTAAAAAATCACAGCATAGGATTAAAGGGAGGATTATAGGCCTTTCTTATCTTGTCACCCTTCTAGTTAAATAATTAATGAAGCAGTGTTTTTGTCAAATCTTTTTCCTGATGACATGTCAAAGACCAAGCTGTAAACAGAGAAAAGGGCTCAGGCACCAAATTGTGCACAGCATTTTTATGAATCATAGTCTAGAATTTTTCAGTGCTTCTCATTCTCCAGCAGTACACCTGCACCGGCTGCTTACCAACACCAAAGATCAGGACCAAGAAAAATATTGCCTGAGGTAATCTCAGTGCAAGATATCTCAGGTCTGTCAGTTGTGGAACCTAGCTCTGGATGTAAGAGGTTTAAGGCATCCTCCTTACCTAGTCCTAACCATCAGTGTTCACCTACCATCAAATGCTGGATATTTTCCTCTCATTAATATAGTTAAGAACTGATAAATTATGTTTATTACAGTTTCCAAAGGTAATTGAAGTATTCTATTTTGATCTAATTTGTGTGGTCTCTTTTATCTGGGAAGGGGTCTTCACGTGAAACTCTTCTGAATGCTTCAGTCAACATCTGTAGTTGTTATCTGCTGTAAACCTTCAAAACTAAATAGTTATATTTGCAAGAAAACTGCAGTTCTTATTGAAAATAATGAATTCTGTGTATCTTAATGCAAACTGTATTGTTAGCTTAAGGTAAGGAAGTTGACAAGTCTATCTGTAGTGTTAGGTGAGAGAGCACAGGACAGGGAGGATGCAAAACCAAACTGGAATAGGCAGCTCAATATTGAAGCTCAGGGCATTGCTGGAATTTATTTTGGTCTCCAGATACACTGAGATAAAGGTAAAATAATGTATATTGTAGATTTTATATTTTATATACATTATTGTGTATGACTTACAGTGTTTCAAAGGAATGTGTCATAGTCCTGTTAGTATTTTTACCAATTCAGTGTGAATGACTTGTGCAGAGTTACTTTCTCCTCCTCAAGTTGTCTCTAATATTAAAAACAGGTAAAGCAGCATTAGTGCAGAGCTCTCACTGAACTGTAGAGCTTAGCAGACCGTGAGAAATTCAAAGTTCACAAATTAAAACTCAACGTAATTCTGAGTTATGGGAAATTATAGGTGGGGAAGTACAGGACGTGATTTCCCAAGACCACAAGGTAGTCAGTAGAAGATCTGAGATCCCTCTTTCTCCTTAGGCTTACTCTCCAAACCAGTTTTTTGGTTTTTTTTATTACGCTGTGCTGTTTGACTAACATGAGACTTACACAGAATCCTTTGGTCAAATCCTCATGAACGTTAAGCAAATATTTCGTACAGTGTGTATGGAAATGTAGACACATTTTTTTTTAAATTCAAATTCACTAACAGTGGAACCTATGTCTTGAAAACAGGTCGTGGCTTCTGGCTATTTCACATCCTTACAGGGAAAAATGTACTCTAGTATAGAAGGGACTAGAATATTTCTCAAGCTGATGTTTCAAGTCTCATGACTCTTCAAATGCTTTTTTAAGTGTGCCATTTTACTGCCCCCTATGGTGTCTGGGCTGGTTGGGTCTCCTCTGAAACAAAGGAAAGGGCAGGAATGCTAAATATTTTTTTTTGTGGTCTAGGAGCACATGTAGCTGTTGCTGATCTGATTGAGCAGAGGGGATTTAATGCTCTAAGGGTACATAAAGGCAGGAAGAGCACTCTGAGAGAAGAAAAGAAAAAACTCTCGTAAGAGGAAGGCCTTCTGAGAAACAACGTTATAGAACTAAAATAGAGCAACTAGAGGAAGGAAGGCCATGTCCTATATATACAGAAAGGGAGGGGGATCTTCTCCATAGTAACAGGAAGAGCAGGGGAGGAGGGAAAGGACAGCATAGATGGCAAAAGGTGTTTCAACAAACTATAGAAAAGAGAGATTTGGGTTTGCTCTTACCTGCTCACAGGATCGGTGGGCTTTGTGTGATACAAAACCCTTTCCAAAATGTCTGTTTAAGCTACTGAAATAAGAATTCATTATTTCTGGACAATTATAAAGCTTGTATTTTAGTATTTCTTCTTTATGTTCCAAATTTCTTATTTCTTTATTTCTTTCAAATGTTTTATCATTACAAGAATTGAAGCTTGATTGCTAAGAGGAAGTTTCAGTTCTGTGATTTGCACCTTATCTATGTTACTGCTGTGCATTTGCATTATTATTATGCAGATACAAGATGTTTTGGCACTGGAATGTGTCCATGTTTTGCAACAATATTTAATACACTGAATTTAGGTAAATGTGGTGGGTCTGCAAGTCCCAGGTGTCCTGAAGGTTTATTCTGGTTTTCCTGATTTGATTTTACTGATGTGCTGAAAAGTCCCTTTTGCTTTTTCCCCTCTCTTATTTCTCGTACTCCTTTTTTTTCCCTCGTTAGCTTCAGCAGCAATTTTGTAAAGTACTTGCAGGACCTCCTGCCAGGCAAACCCCTCTTAGTAAAGATAGCTGTCTTTCAGCCTCAGAAACCGAGCACTGTACTAAAACAGATATATCCCAATGGATCTGAAACATCCTTTCCTCCTTCTGTTAGCACTTTTCCATAGTTTGCAGTGATTACTTCAATTAACTAGTGAAACAGTAAGCAATTACCAATTTTTCCAATTCATAGGAGACTACAGCAGTTTTTGTTGTTTAAAATAAAGTATTTAAACATCTGCTTTCATATTATGTAATACGGATGATCTTTTTGTTTAAAATATTTGTAGTTCTTTTTGCAAAGACTGACAGTGGTGTCTGCTTTCAGGGTGGGATGATTAACTGGAATAGACTGTTTCCTCCTTTACGTCATAGACATAATGCGAATTATCAAGATCATCACCCGTCTGAACAAGGCATACCTCCACCTACTGAGGTTTCTGAAGAGCAGGTAAACACTTTCTATTTTAAAATTGCATTAAAAATTGTTAGGAATTAATCTCTACTAATTTTTTATCATCTGTTTACACAGTTTAATGGTTTCTATAGCAGCAAAAATTAGAATATAAGCTAATGGTTGTAATACAGAGACACTACTGTCATTACCATCCAACTAACCAGAGTTACAGAGCTACTTGGGAGTTTCTACTTTTATGTGTTACTGCTTGTATTTTGTACTTAAAGAAGTTGATGGTTTCAGTAGTGGAAACTATTCAAATCTGATAAAATAAATGTTTCAAAGAAACAAGAATGATAAATAAATGTCATTATTTGTCTTGTAGAAATCATCTTTGCTGAAGTCCCCATCTTAAGTTTCCAATTCCGTCATTTGGGGTTTTTTTAAATAAGAAAGTTATGCCAGCTGTGGACTGCAAAACACATTTGGGCTAACACTTGGATATTTCCCTAAATAATGTGGTCACCTGATTCCTTATATTGATGCTACAGAGAAGTTTATGTCCTTTCTATCAAGTATAGATTTAGACTTCTAGACTTTTGTTGATAGTTTTATTCTCAGAAGAGATGATTATTTACTCAGAAATTTAAGAATAGTCTTATTCCTGCATTCAGGATTTATTGCATGCAGTCAAGTTCTCCAGGTTGTAGCCTACCTGCAGTTAGCTGTATTGGCCATTTTATAGTTTAAGGTCTCTGCTACCCTTGAAAAAGAGTAGGTTTCTTTCCTTTTTTCCTTTTTTATAAGGAGATAAGTCAACACTTGGTAGCAGCACTGTCATTTTCAGTTTAAACTGAGCTCATTTATGCTTTGACTGATTTCTAGCTTTGACTGGATGTTAGATTATGTTCAAAATGTTCAAAACTTTTAACTGCTCTTTTGACTACAAACCTCCTGGGCTACATCTAGAAAGGAAAAAAACCCAAACTGAACAAAAAAACAAACCAAAAGCAAGCAAACAAAAAAACCCCAAACAACAAAATCCTAACTAACAAACAAAAAGAAAATAAAAATAAAAACCCCACACTAAAATGTACCTTTTGAGACAAAGACCAGAAACTTAGTTTTGGCTGTCCTGAAAGCCTACTCAGCGCCAGTATGGCATGGACCACAAGATTTCTCTGCTGGGTTGGCTTACTTATTGACAAATTCTGCTTGTGGGGACTTCTATTTTTGGGCCAAAACTAATGAAATAGTTCTAGTCTGACTTATGCTGGATTCTTACCAAGGATTTTAGGCCCAGATTTATAAAAGCAAATACACTTACATTTCCTGATGCATTGAGAATGTAGGGCTTGACTTGATTGCTGTCATTTGTAAGACTCTCTGGTAACCTGCAAAGAAGTCATTAAAGCACCTTTGGCTGGTTTTTCAAGACTGTACTAATAATGACACAAGTTGTCTCAAAATGGCAGAAATGCAAGGGTTTCATCTGTTCATCACATTAAAATTTGTGAGCATTTTCAATCCTTTTGGTACAAAAATCTCTGCATTTCTTGTGAGGTTTTAGCACCTTTAGTTACTGTTGCCAGTTATACACTCTGTTTCCTGGAGCTGGATTCATTTCCTGTGGTAAAAATACTCTCAGATGAAAAGAGGTTTTTCTTGTTACTATTCCCCATGATGCTCAATGAATATTTCTGTAAATAGGAATGTTGCAATTCCAGCCACCATTTCTTAAAGTTAGAATTCATGGGAACTGCAGTAAAAACTTTACTTCTGTAGTGTGTTTCTGTGGTTAGCTTTTATACCACTGCCTGCCCTTTTTCTCATAAAAAAGCACAATCTTAGATGAAAAAGAAGAGTTTCAGGTTATGAAATTGAGTTTGGACTTAAACTATTGTTGCAGAAGTGTTGAAAGTAACAATTCATTTCTCTCCCTACAAGAAGGTGAAAAAATGTGGCACTGGGTTTTAAGGTTGATGTTCTGACAACCAAGGTAGCTGTTCTCAAATGTGTTGTGGGGGTGTATTTATATTAAGAAAAGGAGGATCTGCGCCTCTGGGCAAACTTGGCAGTTGCACACTTCTCAGTAAGTCACCAAAGCAGAGACGATTAAAAATACTGAAAGTTCTGGAGGTGTCTTAGAGGAAAGAAAAGCTGCTTTTGGTGGCAACTTTCTTTTAAAAATACTTTCAGTGCTAGTGCTGTGCATTGGTTTTGCACCCTAGGAAGATTCCTCCTGAGATGTGTACAGCCTCTTCTGTGTTCCTGCTTCACTCTGCTGCTGCAGGCTCCCTGCAGTAGCTCTCTGACAGCTTCTGTAGTCCAGGACATCCTAGATCAGGAGCTGTGGTGTCTGGTCATAAGGCCCTTTGAAGCAGGATGAGAAATGCTTTATGCTGCCAGTGGCCACAGTTGCTTTTACATCCCATTCTCTGCCCTCCCACATCTTGTTTTTCCACTTCTGGAAGATTAATTATAAAAGTGAATGAGTTATATTGTGACTTTTGGTCATACCAAAGTGAGATTGTAGATTTTAAATGTACTTTAAATTGGTATTTAACCATAAATTAAATTTGGTTATGCATGCATTGCCTTTTCACATGTGGTGCTTTGAATATCTGTTAACACAGAGCACAGAGGTTAGGTGTTAAGTACGTGATATTATACAGAGAGCTGGTCAAATGGTTATTGATTTAACAAAATCACTATCTTAATGTGTCCTTTTTCATGTAATTCTACCATCAGATGTCATGGATTTTTGCTTTGCAGAAGTTTTTGGCAAAAAAGCTGCTTTTTTGAGTATATGTAGAAACCCCCCAAAAATTTTACTAAACCAATTTAAGTATTGTACTGCCTCTACTTTAGGACTAACTTTAAGGTTTATTAAAAAAACCTCCAATACCTGGAATGAATAGTTTTGAGGGGTTTTTTATGCCCTCTGGCATAAAGTAGATCTTTTCAAGAAAAAGAGCTGAAGATTCATTCTGGATAGGTTTTCTCATCTGCTCTCAGATTCTGTGTTTTGATCAGTGTTGATTTCTTGAGATGCTCTTGTTGAGAGCAGCAAGCTCCAGCTCAGACTGTAGTTGTCATGTGTGGTACCAGACTTTGGATTTTACTCTTCTTTCAAAACTGGATCAGCCAGGAAAATACAGGTGTGGCATTTTCTGCAGTTGGCTTTGAATTAAGTGGCGGTCATCTCTGTGGCAACATTTTGAAGCACGCTGTCCCAGATAGATCTTTGATCAGTGGAAAAGCAATTTCTTCATTTCTTTTCCAGGTCGCACGACTTATGGAAATGGGGTTTTCCAGAGGAGATGCTCTAGAAGCTCTGAGGGCTTCAAATAATGACTTAAATGTAGCCACTAATTTTCTACTGCAGCACTGATGGTTTTCTGCGTGAAGGAACTTCACCCCATGGGTTTGTACATGCCTGGGAGAGGATCCAAGCCACCTGCTGGCCAGACTCACCAAGGTCAGCCCCACAAGAGCGTCGGAAGAGAGAAAAAGCTCCACGTGACGGGTGACTCAGAGTGATGCTAAGAAATTATGTGAACTGTTCCCAAGCCTTCAGATCACTTGGTGGTTTCTAGTCTGGTTATGCTTTTCAAAGTAACTTTAGTTTCTACTTGTTACTGGATATCACCTAAGTTTATTTTTAAATAAAATAGGTGGGTTTTTTCTTGTAAATCCTTGTTAGACGTTATCAGACTTTAATGACTAGGAAAAAAAAAAATCTCCAACAACTACAACAGCTAGATTTACCTGTCAAGAAAAATGATATTTTCTTCATTTAAAAGTCTAATTTCTCTAGCTTAAATGTTATTTTACAGTACTTGATTTTTTATTACAGTAATAAGAGGTTTGAAGATCACTTAATTTACAACTCAATAAAGGGTTATGGGACTATTATGTCATTCTTTGCAAAGTTTTATTAATGCCTGTAATATTTTATTTCTCAAATTTCTTTTTGAATAAAAGTTGTCATTCAGCACATAATAGACAGATAGGATGAGAGAAAATTAATGTGTGTATGGTGAGCTACAGCAAGTGACCGCTGTAAAGTTGAATTTTTACAAACTGAGCGAATTGCTGTTCAAATACGGGTCATGAAGATACTCACTGGAAGCAATAAAGGTGAATTGAATGATGCAATAAGATCAGAACTGGAATGATGTGAATGACTTCCATGGCTAACTCAGAGATGACTTCTGTAACAATGGATGTATGCAGTGTCCTATGTGCTGCTTTCATTTTTTTTCAGCTGGCTACCTACTGTCTTAAAAGGAAATGACAAAAAGATACCTTTTCTACATTTAATTCTAGTTTTCTAGTGTCAGAGATGAGAATGGCCCTGCATTCTCACTGACTGAAGCAACTTAGTGTTGACCACAGGCTGAAACATGAATATTAGGGATGATCCAGGCTGGCACAGGAGACAAAAGGACAGAAGTGCCAAGTTTGTGCCATGATGGGTTTGAAGTTTAGACTGATTCCTGAATCAGCTTTCTTGGCTTGACTCTCAGAAGTGCTCAGTATTAGCACCTTAGGAGTCGCAGGAGGCGGGGTGCAGAATGGGTAACATCTCTGAAGGAATACAAGATTCCATAGTGCAACCCCATGAAACCAATCTACACACATATCTTACACATTTCATGTATGTTTCTGTATGTACTTGTGTGTGTACAGCGTGTGCATGTGTGTCTGTCTATATATACACCGGCATATTTCACATACATACATTTAGAATAAGGTATAAGTCACAAGAACTGTAGCAGAGGCAATAACAGGTGCGTAGGGGATGTTTTAGAAATCCAGATGAACACTGTGTACCACAGCACAGATCTTTGCAGTCTCGCTTGGCCTGGGAAATATACCAGGAAATTACAGGACAAGATTTAGGGGAGAGAGATACTTCTCTTTTATTTTTTTAATTGACTGATAAAACTGAAAAGTCTTTTGGGCATACAAGTCCTTATCTACAAATTGCATCAAATTCAGCAAATGACAATGTTTAATTAAGTCAATGTTCTGTATGTATTTCTTTGGTATTTTGTAGTGGGTAAAGTAAAGGGGTTTTGGAATGACAATGTGTTTTCTTAGGCTTTGATCAATCTCCAGGGTTTGGCTTGTTTTATGATCATATTATTTAGGGAGGGTCTGCTTTTTAATGGAAAGGTTTTGTTTGTGTGAAGCTAAAGCCATGTGTGTGTGTAGACCACAAACACTTCTTTACCCAGGGAACTCTGGGAACCTGCTGTCTTGGAAAGCAAAGGATACATGTAAGAAAAAGAAGTCAAACCATAATTTGTACATGCATACTTATTTGTTTTGAAACAGGTACAGGTTTTAATTTTGAAACATACTGATTCTTCCTTCACAAGTATTTTATCCAAAAGTAGCAATAAAGACTGGTAAAATACTTCAGAAATCAAATTTTGTCTGTAGGAAATAATAGCCCAGAGTAAATAAATGTGCCCTTTTCAGACATTACCCTGCTGTAGCGACAAGAACAAAGAGTATTTTATTCCTTGGAATTTTAAAACATGTTAAGTAGCATATGGGATATGAGTGTCTCCAAGTCTAAATCCTTTCTTACTGTTGCCTGTACAGGGGGTATTCAAATGTCTTGGGTGTGTGGAAAATCCCATTTTGCTGGGCATTCTGCAAAACATGGTTAAACCTAAGGGGTAAAATGCAGGTCTTGGTGATGTCAGCTGAAAACTCCGCTTGATTGTGAGAAAAGTTTGTGTTCATAATGCTGCCAGGGTTGTGATTTCCAATTAAAAAAAAAAAAACAAACAACAAAACAAACCAACAAACAAAAAGCAATGGTAAAAGAAGGGGTCTGAGAGGCCATTGAAAACAGTTCCTATTTCATGCAAGAACCGTAGAAGATTCATATGTTAGAGCTGGAAAACAACTCAGTTTCCACTTGATGGTGAAATTTTCATGAACTATTTCTGGGAATGTGAGGAGCGTATTCTTCACAGCCTACGCTGGGTTTGTCTGATAGAGTTTTGAATGTCTCATCACACAGTTTCTAATCTGTGTGTGACACAAGACATATTTTTTGGGCAGCAGGAAGCAAGCAGAATACTTTTCTACGTATTGGATTTCAAGTCCCTAGAAAATTCACTCTAGTTCTAGTAAAGCCAGGATTTGATATTTTGAAATAAAAGTAGTTGCTGCTGTTAAAATTTCCCTGCTAGACTGGGAATGTCATCTTGTGAGACAGCACTGGAGTAACTTTTTGGGGGACTTTCCTAGACAGTTATGTGACACTTTGAAATACACCCACGGTGAGGTTGATATTTGTGTAAATCTACCTGATAAGCCACAAGGCTCAGGTTCTCAAGCCTTAACGTTTTGCCAGGATGGAGACTGATTGGTCTCAAGACCTACCAAAACCATTTTCCTCCCTCAAAACAAGCGTTAAAGGCTGCCTGTTACTGAGCGAGCGCAGGGACTGTCGCAGCTGGTTTATGCACCAGCCTGTGCTGTCTAGCACTTAGCAGTGCCTTTTGGAATAATGTGGTGGAGAAAAGGTCTTGTTATTTCTGTCTGGAACAGAAAAACGAGCCAGAAAAACTTACTGCAAGGTACTGGGCAAAGGGCAACATTTCTGGCTCTCCTGTTTGTATGTATATGTATATATATGATTATATATATGCATATATATGTATATGCATGTGTATATATACAGAGAGTGAGTGAGAATATTTATGTATTAGTTCAATGAATTTAAGTGGAGCTAAGAGTTTGTTAAAAAAAATTAAAAATCTGTATTGAAAGACCCCCTCCCTCTGTCAAACGTGTGTATTTGGAGTATCTGTGCAGTTACAAAGGCACCAAGCTTTGGAAACACTCTGAACTACAACTCCCATGCTATGAGGGAACCACATCAGTTTGAGGATAAATAAATGCACAGCATTCATTTGAACTAATAGAGGGATTTGATACAAAAATGCAATTAAATTCTTGTGTATTCCTCCACAAGAAAAGCCTACATGAGATTAGCTTTCTTTTACTGTGGCCACAATAATCAGTATTTTATATAAATGAGCATGGTTTGAACAAATGTTTTACTAGAGACTAGTAACATGAACTAGAACTCTAGTTTTACTAGAGTCACATGAACGCACACACACTATATGTGTTTATATATGCACACATGCAGGCATATTTATATTATATATATATATATATATATATATATTTTAAATGTGTGTGCATTTACTTAAAAAATACTAGTTTAATTTTTAGTAGGACTACATTCCTTCTGTTTGCATATATAAAGGGATTCTTTCACCACAGAAAGTCCACTCTGAAACTCGAAGAGGGTGTGTGCTTCCAACAGTGTTTGGTGCAAATATGAGGTGAGACACCAGTGGTGGGAGCAAAGGAATGTTACAACCGGACAAATGGGTGTGACTGTTGAGAAGCTGAACACACTGGTAGTGCAGCTGTCATCATTTGTTTTACAAAGGAGAGTTTTAAGAGGAAAGAGAAGTTAGTTTGACTCATACCTGTTTGTAGGGGGCTGTTTCTAAACCTGAATGTTTGCAGTGGAGAAAGCAGGAATATACATACTTTAAAAACAGGTGAAAATTTCCAGAATCATGGCTAAACTAAAAGCAGGATCTGACCTTTTGACTGAGGATAGGTAGGGACCAGAAGTGTCATGTAAGATTCGCAAAGGAAAGGACTTGAGAGAGATGGCCAAGTGGAGCTGAGCAAACACAGAGAGTTTAGGAAAGAGGAGCAAAGTAGAACTGAGGACAGAAAGAGAAGGCCTGCTGAGAGAGAGGGAGACAGTGTTGCATTGCACTAAGTTAAATTTTAAAAGGATTTGCAGGATTTCCTGTGGAAAATGAAAATATGCAAGGTTATGGCTAATCTTGTACTGACAATCCACTCCGGTTTTTTTTAGGGGTGTCTGATAGGGCAATCCTCACATTTTATTTGGTCAGGTAGAGGAGGTGGTACATGTGGCAAGCGAGAGAGCAGTGTAATCCCAGCAGCTGGGCAGTACAGCAAACCCTGGAGCCACTTGTATGTGAGAATGCAGATGCTTCTGGCTTCCAAAGCAGTTAGTCCTGCCAACCTGACTTCTCCTGGCACCTCTCCATCCCAGCTGTGGAGAGACCTCCTCCAGAAAGGACACAGCTCCTCGCAGGTCCTGCAGCTTTTCCCATGGGAGGTCATTTCTAATTCCCTGTTCCATGAGAGCACACCACCTGTGTAAGGGAAGTGGATTGAGAGCTTGTGCTTGCCCCTCACTGCTTCTGGTCATTTTCTTGGGAGGGGCAGAGGCACAGGTGCACCTCTGAGGAGGGAACAGTTGCCCACATCTCCTGGCCTGATCAATCACACTAGGCCATTGTTACTTGGCCATGAGAAGCTTTTATTTCTAGAAGATATGTGCGTTAGTACATTACAATATTTTACTGGCTTACAAATGTTATGTATGACATGCAATAGGTTCAGTTCAGGACAATTTGGAGCACAGACTGAAGAGGTGTGGAAGTTGGGAACCACTGCTGAGGGAAAAAAAGCTGTTCAGTTTGAGCTCTGCCCAGCCCCCCTGCCATGGGCAGGGACACTTTTCACTAGACCAGGTTGCTCAAAGCTTCATCCAACCCAGTGCTGGAACACTTCCAGGGAGGGGTCATCCACAGCTTCTCTGGGCAACCTGTTGCAGTGTCTCACCACCCCCATGTAAAGGACTTTGTCCTAATATCTCATCTAAACCTGCTCTCTTTCAGTTTGGAGACATTCCCCTTTGTCCTGTCACTACAGGCTCTTGTCAAAACAGGCCCTTGTCAAAAGTCCCTCTCCAGCTGCCTTGGGGGCTTTAGGTACTTAGCTTTTCAGTGATCTAAGGTGTCCCTGGGTCCTTCTCCAGGCTGAACAACCCCAAGTCCTTCATCCTGTCTTCAAAGGAGAGGTGCTCCATAACCTGGATTGTCTTGGTGGCCCACATCTTGCTCCAACACATCCATGTTGTTCCCATGCTGGGGACCCCAAATGTAGCATTCCAGGTGGGATCTCATCAAAGCTGAATACAGGGACAAAATCATCTCCCTTGACCTGCTGGTCATGCTGCTTTTGATGCAGCCCAGGATATTCTTCTGATGCAGACTGTATATCCTGTATCTGTGCATGTATT